TACAGTAACTACCAATGGACCAGATGAATGGTCTCCTCTTATTTATAACTGTTCTTATGTTCTTAACGCTCTGAAGTTCTAAAATTACCTACGTAAACCAACTAAAGGAGGACTTTAGTGGAATGAAAGTAAGGGGAGTTTCTGAATCTCTAGAAATTCAATGAGAAAATCTTAAGCTAAACTACATTGTTACATTTGTACCCACCAAACAAACACAAAATGCTGTGTTTCTTCATCTGTAATTAAAGCTATGAATATTTAAAAATGCAAAGTAGAGTCAATAGCGTTTCCCCCTGTCTGGATCTGTTGATGGGTCTCAGTAGGAGACTGCTGTGCTTCAGTTTCCACAGCATGTCTCCCTTACAGGGAAATTTGTTATCTTAGTGTAACTTTAATTTTAAAGCTCATCTGTGCTGTCAGGAGCATCACCTGCGATAAGCCTCCCACTGAAGTGTTTTTTGCTTGGTGTCAGAGAGCAGGCTACATTTCCATGCTCTCACTAGTCTTAGTCTTTGTCTACAAGTTCATCCTTTCTGTCAGTATTGAAGGGCCTGGACTTGTCACCTTTGTCATCTTAATACAAGTAGCCTGTAGGAAACCTTCTACAGGCGATACAGGCAATCCCTGCTGCTTCCTTTTTTTCAAATTTTGAATCACCATCCATTTATTATATATCACTCAGTTTGGAACTGCCAGTTATTTTAAAGCTTTCTGGAAATGACTCCCACATCCTCTTAGGAGACATGCCATTTGATCAACTGTGGCAACATGTGTAAGCTCCATTCTGCCTTCACAGGCAAGAGAGTCCTGATTGGAAAAGTGGCACAGCTCGAAGTGATGTCACTGAAAGCTTGCAGGAAGTGACTGGAGTTGTTGTTTTCTGGAATTAATCAGACAGGGCTCTCTGGGATTCCCAACATTGACCTGCCTCTCCCGGGGAAAACGTGGTCACAGAACAGTGAGCGAAGAATGCTACTTCTGGTTTGTGCTCCAGTTGAGATGTTAATAGCTAATTGGTTTCAATCTTCTATTTTTAAATTTGCTTTCACCTCTTGAAAGGTTGAATGGGATATGAGAATGACATCAGCCTTGTACCAGTTTTGGAGTTTTACTATTGCCCTTATTTAAGTGTGTCCCTTGAAGTGTATCCATCTGGACATGTGCACTGGGAGAAACACTGGGAGAAACAGTTGGAGACAGTGTCACCCCCTGTCTGTTCATCATCAACTGATCAGCTAGTAACAGCTGTTCAGTTGGAAATTAGGGTTTGCAAGTTATGTAGAGACTACGACAAGCTCCGCAGACTGAAGCAGCTGGAAACAAAGAGATTGAAGTGCAGAAATAAGTTAACCACAAGCAGGAGATGAATTAAAATCATTCATAAAGTGTAAAAGATGATATTCAGTGATCATCAATATTATAACCAGTGATTTAGTGATAGAGACAAGGCCTGTACCAGGATTCTAAACTAATGTAAAAGCCTTTCTCCTTCAGACTCTTCCCTAGACAACAATGCACTGAAGTCCTGATCAATCCAAGCATAATATTGTAAAAACAGCCTTAGTAATCAATAATAATGGAAACCTGGATGAAAATGATATGCTTTCCAACAAATACAGCAGCTTAGCTTTTTGGAAATGAGGGCATCAGTCAATGAAGACAGCTAATCCTCTTCATATTGTTAGACACTTCTCAGAAAACCACACAACTCTGAGAAATCAAGCTGGAGATTTCTTTATTACAATACAGATGCAGCCAGCAGCTCGCCCCTCACTCGCTCTCTAAGGGACAGCAGCACACTTTTATTCTTGGAGATGAGCAACATTTCCATACAAAAACTTACAATTTTGTGATTTGTTAGTGATAGTCTGTTGCCAAATACAGTACAAAGTCAGACAGTTAACTGTGGTCAACCTTGGCAATCAGCCAAAGTCTCTGTTCCCACTTTGTATAGTTAAACCAGACACAAGACACAAAAAAACACTGTTCGTGAAACCCTGGCTGTCTGGAGCACAGAAACAAATCTTGCAGAATTTGCAAGTTTAATTTTTTAACGTAACATAATAACAAAGACGAACTCTGAATGCCTTCACTCCCTCCTGTCAAGGCCTCGGGAATCTGGAGAATCTCATTCACACAGCATCCTGAGCAATCTGGCTTATTCTAGCACACAGCAAAGCATTATAAAGGTGCTTAAGGAGCTGATAAACAAGATAATTCAGAAATAAAGTAGGTAAAGTCCTAAGCCAAACCATTTGTGCCAAAACAACCGAGTAAAGCATCCAGCCACAAAACTATATAGAGCCGAAGCCTGCTGTACATCACAAAGACATATCTGAGTTTGAAATGCTCAAGCCTGAGCATGATTAGCATAGTGCATTGTCAGTCGAACATGGACTATGGCCCTAGACATCTGCTCTGCAGTAGTGAAATTTAGACTTTTTAACTTTGAATGACAACCTGAAGACCAGCTTTAAATGCATGCCACTCGTGACGTCCACTCATGGTGCCCAGCTGTTTTCAACATGAGGCAGACGGGGAAAAACATAAGGACCATACAGAAGCAGGGTGGAAGCAGAAGCAGGGTGGTGTCCACTACAGTTCAGCCTGATGCAGAAGGAGCAGGTCTTCAGAACATCACAGACTGCTCTTTTATTGGGCAGGAGCACAAGGCTCTGGAAAGCGCCACGTGTCCTCCGACACCTGTGTAGGCCAGGGCTGTTCCTTCCATGGAGAGCTGGGACTATATCACACACTATTGTCCACTTCAGGCTCCGAGACCAGACACCAAGATGCTGTCAGATTTTGTGCTCAGTGAACAGTGGTCAGGGAAAGACCATCATCCCACTGCACATCCAGTCCACACCAGCAGGGGAAATGACAAAAGGGATGGAAACAACAGCATACCAGGCCCCAATGGGCATAACACCAATTGGCACTAATTTTTACACAGTAAAAGTAAATTTACACCAATTACTAATAAGGGATTAAAAAAAAACTAAAGTCTGCTACCACCAGCAGCCCACCTTGACTTCATCACTACTATTCAGAAGCAATTTGTAAGCTTGCAGGCCAGAAGAGCTTGGAACTATACCTTCAGCTATTGGGGTCATGTCTCGAGTTAGCTGTGTGATTACTCAATCTAAAGCAGCCTGGCAGGCTGTTGTAAGCAGAGAGCGATTTAAAGCATCTGGAACCTGCTTAAATCCTGCAGCTGACACATTAAACAACCTGGCGAACAGTAATAAATGTATGAGCTCTGAGCCATTAATTGATGTCCTGCTGCCCAATATCATGATGCCTGTAAACCATTCTGCCCTGCCCAAGTCATTTGCCATATTTGACCTTGGAGTGCCCAGTTTTCCCCAGAAATATTCTCAATATCAACTGTAGAATTTATGGAGCTGAAATGTCCAACAATCCAGTCAAAAAGATCACGTTGGCAGGTTGACAGATTGACAGGTTACTCCTGACACTTGTGAAACCTTGCCTTTTGTTGGGCAATCATATTCAGAGGGCACAACAGTAGCTCCTGTATCCAAGAGAAATCCGGTGGGGAGGCCTCCAACCTCACATTCAACCCAGATACCTCTCCCAGACACTGTTGTCAAAGGCCTAACAGAGGCCCGCATATCCTATGGTTTTAAAAGGATTCTGGGGCATTTGCTCCCTCCGATCTCTGGAGGCATGGCCAGCTGTAACAGGGCTCTCTTCTGTTCCTCTCACGACAGTCCCTCCTGTTGTCTATTCTGAAACAAACAATGTCTCCTACACTGTCCTCTGTCAGTGTCACTCTGTCACTCTCCACTGTCCTACACTGTGAAATGGAGTTTATTTAACTAAAGTTCGGGAGGAATGACAACAACCACGCTCAATCATCCCCAGCCGTCAGCGGTTAGCAATCTCTCCCTTCGTCCTTCCTCCACTGAACGCTATAAATACCAAAAGCGATATCTCTCTCCCTCGCGTGCGACTTTTGCATCCCACCTCCACCCCAACTCCACCTTGGTTACCTTGCGGGGGCGTCCTGGCCTCCTCGTCCTATGGCCAGGAGGTCGGCCCTCAGCCAAGCGGGTTGAGCCAAATATTCACTCCACAATAGTTCGCCACTCTATGATTTTGGGGCGTTGTCATTCCTCGTGAAAACAGGTTGGAAGCTGACTTCATGGCCTCTGGCCTCAACTAATCCAGTCCTATTCCTAAAGCCATCTTTAGGGTATGGACTACTTCAACTCCGACCATTACCTTTACCACCACCACTTGATTGAACCACCATTATCCTTGTCACCTTACTATTTTCCACATTTTGTTCTGCTTAATCAGTTCTCTTCTGTATGTACCTTCTGTCAACTTGCCTTAACACAATCTTCTGCAATTCCGGCTTTGTAGCTCCAAAACACCTGTGACATTGTGTATGTGTTTATGTCAGGAGAATCACACTCCGAATGTGCTTCCTAGCATGTCCCCAGTCCATAAACTTCCTTCACTTCTTCATATTCAAGGAGCCATAGGCTGGGATTGATCCCTGGACTCAGGAGCTGTGAGGCAGCAGTGTTAACATGACATCACCATCCATGTCCACATAAAGTTCAGATAAAGTCTACTTTTTGTTTCCAAAACATAGATCTGTCATGATTGTTATCTTAAAACCAAAAGACTAAAATTCCTGTAGGAAATCACCAAATAATTGTTTTTCTGCATAAAGAAGGATAAAGTGAATGTGATAAGCAGAACAATGTAAAATTGCAGAGACATTTATACGTTAAAATGTATAAAAATACTCTTTCGAATGCATCTTAAAGCTTGATGTCTTTGTCATCTGACAGGTATTATACTGAGAGTCAATTATGTCTTAATTCAATTATTTACAAGGAAATTCTGAAGTGTGAGTGTGTTGAAAATGGCTCAATCTTTAGGAAGACAACGGCAAAACAAAAGGAAAACTTCAGTTTTGAGCAGTGTGCTAGAAGCAGTCATGTGCTATGGAAAGAAGTGCTTGCAGCGAATCCACTCAGGTTAATAAAGAACAACTGTCGATAAAAGAGGAAACCACGCTCTGCAGACACACAGACACAAAGAAGAATAAATGATGCCAGCAGGAGACTTGACGCTTTCATGATAAGAAACAAAAGTTTTTTTTCTAACTTCTAGAACAAAGACACATGAGAACATCTGCTAACTGTTTCGACATGAAATGGAACTGCTAAAGCTGACTCTCATAATTCAAGCTGTGGTTCTCTCTCAAGGTAACACAACTTAAATTCTTAATTTTTCACCTGTGACTGTCGCTATTAGTCTTGGTTCAATGTAGCTCCTTCTTTCTTTCGTTGCTGGATGCCTGGAACCGGACCCTTCTCTAACTCTTTCAATTTAAGGGAAACTCACATGTAGATACGTATAACTAATCTACTGTATATAATGGGTTAGTTGTGGTATTTCTTTGCTAAAAACTGTTATTAAGAAATCAAGGCTTTCGCTGTGCTTTTTCTGAAATTCTGTAAGAGATTCTATTGTCTTAAATGTTTTTACTGTGTTGTGATAAAATAGAAAAATGAAATATTTAAGTATATAATCAAAGATTATGAAAAAACAGTTGAAGCTTTTCTTACCAAATTAGGATGATAGTAATGCTACTTGTACCTCAATCTTTTTACCTTAGAGAAAAGAAAAAATAAAATTAAATGCTTACTTTGAAGGATGGCTTCTTATCACAAACTGCAATGATAATCCTACTACAGGGCTAAAGTAAACGAAAGAGAATCCTAAGAAGCTATTTTTAGTCATTTTTTTGTAATATTCAATTTAATTAATATTATTAAAATTGTTGTAAGATAAATGGAGTGAATGAGTAAATTGAGCGGTTAATGTTAGTTATATTTAAAATCCCATTTGATTGTATAAGCAAGCTGAATTCATTTATTTTACAATAATTACGTTTGGTTCCCTATGGGTTTTGAGAATTGAGCGTAGTTCTTTCAAGAGTTGAGAGTTTCTATTTTGAATTCAGAACACTAATCATTTCTAATGTGATACTAATTCACATTAATGGGATTAGACTTGCAAAATTTGACATTTTATATTTTTCACTTGATGGGTGAAATCTGTTTTTCTCCTTCTTTGGTGCTGGTATTAAAATATGTTGCCATACAATCACACACAAAAGCATCTTTTAATAGCTGTATTGCTGATGTTTTTTTCTTCCTATAATATTCACTGTGTTCTGTTCAACCTCAGTCTTATACAAGACACTACAGAGCTTCTAGAAAATAATTGTTCTGCTTGCTTTGAAAGTCCATACTTTCTCATATAAAATATACTAAAAACAAGAAAGGAAACCAAAAAAATCATTCCTAACTTTATGGGAATTTGTCTATTGTCATGGAAACACAAATGCTTCTTGGGTTCTGTATATTTTTAAAGGTCAGAACAAATCTCCTACTATTAAGAAAAAAGGCACTCATCCTGAAATGTTCTCGATAGCACGTTATTACAAATCAAATAAATACCAGAAAGAAAAAAAACTAAATTAAGAAGCAAAATAGTTTGGCTTTATAACATCCAATACAAGGTCATACTTATATCTTAACTGTGCACTAAAGGATTTCAGGATAGATCATTTTAATTTTCACTTTGTGTCTCCTATTTTAAATAAAAAGAAGCAATTCTGAAATTGAGAAATCCATGTACGTGAGCATCTGATTTCAGGTTAAGGAAATATTGATTCCTTCAAGCACCGCCTGTACAAAATGCACAACTCCATGAAAAAGGAGCTATACAACAGCAAATGGAAAACAGAGTATCACACAAAATGTCAGTTTATCTGAAAAAACTTTTAAGAGAAACGTTTATTTTTTAAAAGTGTGAAGAACAGCTTGTTGTTGTAGTTTGTTTCACCTTTATTTTTATTTCAGAATTTTGTATATTCAATTTTACTCCTAACAAGATACAGCTAATTGCATTAATTTGCTTTGGGAAATGGGGTAGCCGACAATAACAACAAACAGTGCAAAATCCACTGCAAATGTCAGGCGTATACAGTATGTGCGGCCAGATACATACTGAATTGTTGCACAGAAACGGTGTGTCTGATTTTAAGTATTCAAAATGGCGATCAGCAGAAATACACTGTTGCCATTGTGCTTTTCGTTTCTATTGGATGGTCTACATTTCTGTTTCATTCACAATTGTTTTTTAATGCATGACTGGCACCTAATCCAATCACAACAGGTTGCATTTTCTCTAGGAGAGTGCAGATTTTGGAGACCAAGATGCCAGAATCTCTTCCGGAAAGTGAAGTTCTTGTTGGATTGATGATGGTTCAGTTCACCGTCACATGAAGCTGTCTGGGCCATGTTGACTTCTCACTGTTATTTGTGCCTATCATTTCAATTTTAAACACTGAAGGGATCAATAAACACACAAAGTGAAAAGGGTAGAAATGAATAACTTCTTAACACAGCAAAACATTTGGTGAAATGTTGTATGGAACACAGTTAAAAGTGAAAATGAACTTAAAAGGAAAACACAGTGTAAGTACTATTCTGGCTCTTGATGACTGTTTTCAGAGTTTGTCTTCCTGGAATGTTTCCTTAACTTTCCTGAAATCTAATTGAGTAAAGGTCTAAATTTCTGAATTAAAAATTCTGAGAGAAGACAGGCATATCAAAAATGTATTTGAACATTTGCATGTTATAAGAGAGCAACAAATTTCGTTCATTAACTCAATGGCTTCTTGTGAGCATTGTTTTTTGAGTATTGGTCCAATTGCAACCAACCTTAAATATCTTTTCAAACATTTTATTGCAATTTTACTCAATTCCTTATACATTTATTCTGGCAATGAAAAATGAATGCTTGCATTTATTAGTCACAAATTTGGATTTTACTCATCCGGGGATCCACGCAGGCAGACTTATTTCACAGTGGCACAGAATAATTAGTTGGTGCTTTAATGTTCAGGCTCCACTTCGTTAATGGACTTTAGTTGGAATTTGCAGAGATTCTGAAACTTTAGCATGTGACTATGCTTTGTGTAGATGGCTGCTCTGTGAATAGCCTATATCCTCAATATTATTAATAGAATTTTAGTCATAGAAAAGAGTTTGTTTGTTTCATACATGGCAATTAGCTAATTTGGAAAATGTTGTTTGGTTAAAACCTGTTAACATTACAAAATCAAAGAGATTATTCTTCACAACCTGCGAGGACAAAGTTCAAGTAAGTTAGACCCATGCAAAGCTTTGCTATTTCGTATATGTTTTGTTTAATGCAAACCAATAATTGTCTGCAAAAACACAAATCATTATCTACATTGATCGCATGCTATTTAAACAGTAAAACGTATTGAATCGTTTTTCTTGTGTTTTTTTGTTACGCACACAGTGGTTCCCTTTTTCTCCCCCACAGTTCAAAATCACAAGAATGTCAGCATTATCTTCAATAAAAGGCAGATTAATGGATTTTATTATCTTTCATAGTCGCATATGTTATCACACATTTGTGCTAGTACAAGATAACTTTAAGTTGAATATGGATGTACTCAAATTCTCTTTCTTGTTTAAGCTAAAAGAAAGGCTGGTTGAAGCACACATTTATTTCTGGTTCTGCATTGTTTAACTGCAGATTTCACTGGAGTTAAGTTGATCCATGCCAGTCAACCGATTTTAGAGCGAATGGCAAGACTCACATGTACACAGTACAAATGAGGAAGAAGATCAGATTCCCTGCCAGTAATGTGCAGCGACTTGTGTAAAATAATGTGTCGATGAAAACTGAGGGTGTTGGAAAGAGCAGAAACTCATACAATTTGGTAATGGATACAACTTTCCATTTGTAGCCTTATTTTTCAGAATTAATTGAATTGTAGCTGGAAATGTGCACCATGTGGTGCTAATATTTTACTCATTGTTCTTCCAGATGGCCTCCTAACGCTCAGATAAGTCATACAGTTCTGTTTAATCACAGCTTTATTGGTATTTTGTGTATATTTATAGAATCCACTGAATTTGTTTTTATGCCTTGAAAGTGCCTGTGCTGTAAGTGATTAAATGTAATTTAACAAGCAGAAAAGTAGTCTTCAAAAAGAGATGGCTGTTGGAAAATCCTGTTTTGAAAAAACTTAAGACTAGAGAATGTGAAAGTTAACAATGTTGGCATATTGTTACATCAAAGAAAGAAATCTAACATTATTTTAAAACACTGATCTAGAAAACAAAAGTTCTGCAGATTCCTTGGCATTCTCTGACTCATATTCTGAGGAAGTGGGAGATCTGACCTTTGTCTTTCATTTGGCCTTTTCAATAAAAATATTTTTTATTTTAAAATGGGGCTTGAATGACACAACATCTCAAGGCAGTTTACAATAATTTAAAATTTCCCGCTTTTAAGATGTTGTCCGGTCAACTGGTTAGTTTGAAGGCAAGTTGCACTGTTTAGAATTATTCCTGTGTACTACAGTACCATTCATAGCATGACAGACATTTATTAAAAGTAAACTGCTAAGAACAGAAGCCAAAAGCAACTGCATGAGCACTCCAGGCATCAAAGACAAAAGGAGGGCAAGATTTAGAGTTTAAATTCAAATCCTGGGCTAGGGTTTAATTGGTAAATTGGTGAAAATTACACAGGGGAAAGATAAGCATCTGAGTTATATACGGAGTATCTATAAGATCAGAGCCTTTTGAGGATACAAAAGAGATTGAAATATGTGAGCAGAACATGGATCATAGACTGCTTTGTCTTGTATTCTTAGATAGGGAACATAGCTGTTCTCAATGTAGTGATAAGTGGAAGCCCATACTTCCCACATCTCATACAGGTTTCTAATCTTTTGTCTGTGTGTGACCAAACCTACTGACAGGAAAGGTAACAAACGGAAGAAAATCGTTTGGTTTTGCTCTGGAAAATGGCTAAATTCGCCCTACAATTCCGAATGTAACATTTCAGCAACTTGCCTCCCCAAAGAAGCCCCTCTGACAGAGCATGGCAAGCATAATGCTCTATCGTGAAACTGTAGCCCTGCATATGTTTTTTTTCCAAACATCACAAATTCACTACTTACAAAATACTCCAAAAAACTATGTAAATAAGACTCAAAAAACAAAGCTTTACACTCCAGCGTGTCACACACCAAATGTGTGTTGTCAAAACTCGGTGCTTATTCTCCAGTGCGAGCGACATTAACAATTCTTCAAAATGAATCCCAACACAATATAAGATGCAATAACTAGGCATTTTTCTATAAAAA